AGGCCGCCTCCTGTGGCTCCGGTGCCAGCTACCATGGTCAATGCACCACCAACAGCTTGAGCACTTGTGCCAGCTGATATACTCAGGTCACCGCCCACATCCGAGTCACCCCACCCGGCCGCCATGCTCAGATCACCACCCACCGTCGCTCCTGCACCAGCCGTCACCGTGATGGCCCCGCCCGTCGTGCCGGTGCCTTGTCCGGCCGCTACCGTGAACGATCCGCCCGTCTCTCCCGCGCCCGCCGCTAAACTCACCGACCCGCCCGTCGACATGGTACCTGTTCCGGCCGACATCGAGACAGGACCGCCCGTCACGCCCGTGCCGGCCGCCAACGTGAGCGTCCCACCCGTCGTGTAGGCGCTGGTGCCCACCGTCAGACTCACCGCTCCGCCAGCTCCCGACACCGCCGCGCCGCTTCCGATGAGCACCGAACCGCTGGTGCCGGAGCTGGTGGTACCCGAGCTCAACACAATGGCGCCGCTCACGCCCACGGCGCCGGCGTTGGGCGATCGGATGGTGATCGCACCGCTGGTGGTGGCGGTGCCCACCCCGCTCGTGATGGTCACGGTCCCTCCAGACAGCTCGGACGACTGACCGGCGGATATGGTCACGTCGCCGCCCTCCCCCGAGCTCGTGTCGCCCACGGTCAGACTCAACAGACCGGCCTGTCCGCCGATGGCGTCACCGCTGCCGATCATGACGGCGCCGGTGTCTCCCGACGTGGTTGTGCCGGAGCTGAAGGTCATGACACCGCTGTGGCCCGTTGTACCGGCGTTGGCGGAGACGATGGTGACGGTCCCGCTGTTCCCGATGGTCACGGCCCCGCTCGACACAGCCACAAGGCCACCGCTCGTACCGCCATATCCGGCGGCCACGATCAACGCGCCGCCGTCTGTCCCTCCTGCACCGGCCGTCACCGTGATCGCCCCGCCCGTCGTCCCGGTGCCTTGTCCGGCCACCACCTTGACCGATCCGCCCGTCTCTCCCGGGCCCGCCGCCAGACTCACCGACCCGCCCGTCGACATGGTGCCCGTTCCGGCCGACATCGACACAGGACCGCCCGTCACACCCGTGCCGGCCGCCAACGTGAGCGTCCCGCCCGTGGTGTAGGCGCTGGTGCCCACCGTCAGACTCACCGCTCCGCCAGCTCCCGACACCGCCGCGCCGCTTCCGATGAGCACCGAACCGCTGGTGCCGGAGCTGGTGGTACCCGAGCTCAACACAATGGCGCCGCTCACGCCCACGGCGCCGGCGTTGGGCGATCGGATGGTGATCGCACCGCTGGTGGTCGCCGTGCCCTCGCCGCTGGTGATGGTCACCGATCCTCCGGTGGCCGTGGTCGACTCGCCGGCCGCCATCTCCACCAGACCGCCCTCGCCGGTGTCTCCGCTGCCCACCGTCAGAGTCAGATCACCTCCGGTGCCCCCCAGAGCGGCGCCGCTACCGATGTTGACGGCGCCGGTGTCTCCCGACGTGGTTGTGCCGGAGCTGAAGGTCATGACACCGCTGTGGCCCGTTGTGCCGGCGTTGGCGGAGACGATGGTGACGCTCCCGCTGTTCCCGTCCGTCACGGCCCCGCTCGACACAGCCACGAGGCCGCCTCCTGTGGCTCCGGTGCCAGCTACCATGGTCAAAGCACCACCGACAGCTTGAGCGCTTGTCCCAGCTGATACACTCAGGTCACCGCCCACTCCCGAGTCACCCCACCCGGCCGCCAGGCTCAGGGCGCCACCCACCGTCTCTCCTTCACCCGCCGTCACCGTGATCGCCCCGCCCGTCGTCCCGGTGCCTTGTCCGGCCACCACCGTGAACGATCCGCCCGTCGACCCTGCGCCCGCCGCCAGACTCACCGACCCGCCCGTAGACGTGGTGCCCGTTCCGGCCGACATCGACACAGGACCGCCCGTCACACCCGTGCCGGCCGCCAACGTGAGCGTCCCGCCCGTCGTGTAGGCGCTGGTGCCCACCGTCAGACTCACCGCTCCGCCAGCTCCCGACACCGCCGCGCCGCTTCCGATGAGCACCGAACCGCTGGTGCCGGAGCTGGTGGTACCCGAGCTCAACACAATGGCGCCGCTCACGCCCACGGCGCCGGCGTTGGGCGATCGGATGGTGATCGCACCGCTGGTGGTGGCGGTACCCACCCCGCTCGTGATGGTCACCGCTCCTCCGGTGGCGTTGGTCGACTCTCCAGCCGCCATCTCCACCAGACCGCCCTCGCCGATGTCTCCGCTGCCCACCGTCAGAGTCAGATCACCTCCGGTGCCCCCCAGAGCGGCGCCGCTACCGATGTTGACGGCGCCGGTGTCTCCCGACGTGGTTGTTCCGGAGCTGAAGGTCATGACACCGCTGTGGCCCGTTGTACCGGCGTTGGCGGAGACGATGGTGACGGTCCCGCTGTTCCCGTCCGTCACGGCCCCGCTAGACACAGCCACGAGGCCACCACTGTCACCACCGTATCCTGCTGCCATGATCAACGCGCCGCCGTCCGTCCCTCCTTCACCGGCCGTCACCGTGATCGCCCCGCCCGTCGTCCCGGTGCCTTGTCCGGCCACCACCGTGAACGATCCGCCCGTCGACCCTGCGCCCGCCGCCAGACTCACCGACCCGCCCGTAGACGTGGTGCCCGTTCCGGCCGACATCGACACAGGACCGCCCGTCACACCCGTGCCGGCCGCCAACGTGAGCGTCCCGCCCGTCGTGTAGGCGCTGGTGCCCACCGTCAGACTCACCGCTCCGCCAGCTCCCGACACCGCCGCGCCGCTTCCGATGAGCACCGAACCGCTGGTGCCGGAGCTGGTGGTACCCGAGCTCAACACAATGGCGCCGCTCACGCCCACGGCGCCGGCGTTGGGCGATCGGATGGTGATCGCACCGCTGGTGGTGGCGGTGCCCTCGCCGCTGGTGATGGTCACGGCCCCCCCAGACAGCTCGGACGACTGACCGGCGGATATGGTCACGTCGCCGCCCTCCCCCGAGCTCGTGTCGCCCACGGTCAGACTCAACAGACCGGCCTGTCCGCCGATGGCGTCACCGCTGCCGATCATGACGGCGCCGGTGTCTCCCGACGTGGTTGTGCCGGAGCTGAAGGTCATGACACCGCTGTGGCCCGTTGTACCGGCGTTGGCGGAGACGATGGTGACGGTCCCGCTGTTCCCATCCGTCACGGCCCCGCTAGACACAGCCACGAGGCCACCGCTCGTACCACCATAACCGGCTGCCACCACCATCGCACCCCCTTCCGTCTCTCCTGCACCGGCTGTCACCGTGATCGCCCCGCCCGCCGTCCCGGTGCCTTGTCCGGCCACTACCGTGAACGATCCGCCCGTCGACCCTGCGCCCGCCGCCAGACTCACCGACCCGCCCGTAGACGTGGTGCCCGTTCCGGCCGACATCGACACAGGACCGCCCGTCACACCCGTGCCGGCCGCCAACGTGAGCGTCCCGCCCGTCGTGTAGGCGCTGGTGCCCACCGTCAGACTCACCGCTCCGCCAGCTCCCGACACCGCCGCGCCGCTTCCGATGAGCACCGAACCGCTGGTGCCGGAGCTGGTGGTACCCGAGCTCAACACAATGGCGCCGCTCACGCCCACGGCGCCGGCGTTGGGCGATCGGATGGTGATCGCACCGCTGGTGGTGGCGGTGCCCACCCCGCTCGTGATGGTCACCGCCCCGCCAGAGAGCTCGGACGACTGACCGGCGGATATGGTCACGTCGCCGCCCTCCCCCGAGCTCGTGTCGCCCACGGTCAGACTCAACAGACCGGCCTGTCCGCCGATGGCGTCACCGCTGCCGATCATGACGGCGCCGGTGTCTCCCGACGTGGTTGTGCCGGAGCTGAAGGTCATGACACCGCTGTGGCCCGTTGTGCCGGCGTTGGCGGAGACGATGGTGACGGTCCCGCTGTTCCCGTCCGTCACGGCCCCGCTAGACACAGCCACGAGGCCACCACTGTCACCACCGTATCCTGCTGCCATGATCAACGCGCCGCCGTCCGTCCCTCCTTCACCCGCCGTCACCGTGATCGCCCCGCCCGTCGTCCCGGTGCCTTGTCCGGCCACCACCGTGAACGATCCGCCCGTCGACCCTGCGCCCGCCGCCAGACTCACCGACCCGCCCGTAGACGTGGTGCCCGTTCCGGCCGACATCGACACAGGACCGCCCGTCACACCCGTGCCGGCCGCCAACGTGAGCGTCCCGCCCGTCGTGTAGGCGCTGGTGCCCACCGTCAGACTCACCGCTCCGCCAGCTCCCGACACCGCCGCGCCGCTTCCGATGAGCACCGAACCGCTGGTGCCGGAGCTGGTGGTACCCGAGCTCAACACAATGGCGCCGCTCACGCCCACGGCGCCGGCGTTGGGCGATCGGATGGTGATCGCACCGCTGGTGGTGGCGGTGCCCTCGCCGCTGGTGATGGTCACGGCCCCCCCAGACAGCTCGGACGACTGACCGGCGGATATGGTCACGTCGCCGCCCTCCCCCGAGCTCGTGTCGCCCACGGTCAGACTCAACAGACCGGCCTGTCCGCCGATGGCGTCACCGCTGCCGATCATGACGGCGCCGGTGTCTCCCGACGTGGTTGTGCCGGAGCTGAAGGTCATGACACCGCTGTGGCCCGTTGTGCCGGCGTTGGCGGAGACAATGGTGACGGTCCCGCTGTTCCCAGTGGTCACGGCCCCGCTAGACACAGCCACAAGGCCGCCTCCTGTGGCTCCGGTGCCAGCTACCATGGTCAATGCACCACCGACAGCTTGGGTGCTTGTGCCAGCTGATACGCTCAGGTCGCCGCCCACATCCAAGTTACCTGACCCGGCCGCCATACTGAGATCACCACCCAGCGTCGCTCCTGCACCCGCCGTCACCGTGATCGCCCCGCCCGTCGTCCCGGTGCCTTGTCCGGCCACCACCGTGAACGATCCGCCCGTCGACCCTGCGCCCGCCGCCAGACTCACCGACCCGCCCGTAGACGTGGTGCCCGTTCCGGCCGACATCGACACAGGACCGCCCGTCACACCCGTGCCGGCCGCCAACGTGAGCGTCCCGCCCGTGGTGTAGGCGCTGGTGCCCACCGTCAGACTCACCGCTCCGCCAGCTCCCGACACCGCCGTGCCACTTCCGATGAGCACCGAACCGCTGGTGCCGGAGCTGGTGGTACCCGAGCTCAACACAATGGCGCCGCTCACGCCCACGGCGCCGGCGTTGGGCGATCGGATGGTGATCGCACCGCTGGTGGTAGCGGTGCCCTCGCCGCTGGTGATGGTCACGGCCCCGCCAGACAGCTCGGACGACTGACCGGCGGATATGGTCACGTCGCCGCCCTCCCCCGAGCTCGTGTCGCCCACGGTCAGACTCAAGAGACCGGCCTGTCCGCCGATGGCGTCACCGCTGCCGATCATGACGGCGCCGGTGTCTCCCGACGCGGTTGTTCCGGAGCTGAAGGTCATGACACCGCTGTGGCCCGTTGTACCGGCGTTGGCGGAGACGATGGTGACGGTCCCGCTGTTCCCGTCCGTCACAGCACCGCTCGATATAGCCACGAGGCCACCACTGTCGTCACCATGTCCTGCTATCATGGTCAACGCGCCCCCGTCCGTCCCTCCTGCACCGGCCGTCACCAAAACGGCTCCGCCCGTCGTCCCGGTGCCTTGTCCGGCCACCACCGTGAACGATCCGCCCGTCGA